TTCCAAGTGTACTTGAGCGCATTTGAACCTTTAATACAGTAATAAGTAAAACATGTTATTAAAATATTCCTAAAATTTTTAGTAAATTTCTTTAATTCTTGTTTTTAAAATTGCTTACAAAGGTTAAATATAATTGTTTCATACATATCACGATCCAAATAAATTTTATCACCTACGACAAGATTAAATTCATCCGGATTTGGAATATCAAGATTATAATTTAGACCTAAAGTTTTGGTCATACTTTTAAAGTCTGAGGCCAATTCATGAGTAAATTCAGCTATATTTGTTTCTTGATAATTTGCTTTTAATTGATTAGTTTCTATATTTGAAAACTATTATAAGAAGTATTACAAATATTAATAAACTATCATACATTAACAATTGTGATAAATTTATATATATAACATACATGTAATAAAGCGTTTATGAGTTTAAGTAATCGATGAGTGTTACGACGTATAATTTGAAGATGAGGCATCATTGGCAATTCTCGAGTACGGGTATTAATTACGTCATTGAGCGGTGAAAGCATTAAAGTCAATGGTGCTAATATTATAAAAAAAAAAAAACTTTGAGCTATTTATTCAATATATTTTTAAGAGTATTTTAAAATAATACTTTTTAATTCGTGACTGATTCCTTGGAAAAACGTAATTTTTTGCCAATTCAAATCAGTCAATATTTGAGTTTTTTTCTTTTCTTCTTCAACAGACTTTCCACGTTGCAAAAGTACATATATCTGATTTGTTATTAACTAACAAATTATAAAATGTAAGGTGTGTTTAATATATTTTTAATACAACAAATACAAAAATATAATGAGAAATATTACATACATTGAAAAATTCTATATACCGATCATCAAGTGCGCAAAATCGACTAATACCATAAATTAATACAACCGACAAAACATGTTCTTTATCAAGAAAAATTTTTATCGAGAATAGTATAGCCTGAGATTCGTCATTTAAAAGAACTTTTACATGTCTTTCTTCCTTTAAGACAACACGTATTGGCCAATAATCACATTTTAAGAACGAATAAGTTGCAGTACTTCGTTTTAGTTTTATATATGAATCGTAGCTCTTGCTAGCATCCTTAGATAGATCGATTATATCATGGGTTTCTGGTAAATAATCAGGAATGTGTCTTTTTTCTTTATCGTCATCATCAAAGGTCGTAGCTATCAAGTGAGCAATTGAAGATTCGAAACTAGTATTTAATTTATGTTTTACAAAGTAAATGAGTGCATAAGGAATATCTTCATTGCCTTTTAACGCATTCGTTATAATATGGCAGGCATTTTCTAAGGACTCAATGTCTTTGAAAAATACTATGAAATAGAAGCATATTAATAGATATAATTCCATAAATATAATCTTAATACTCGTAACAATAATCAACTATAATTAATATATTAAAATTATGTGTACTAACTAGAAGTAAGATGTCCAAATTCGCCAAGTGTTTTTAGTCTTCGAGTATTTAAAACTCTTTGAGTAGTTTCTCGTGCCAGACACAATAAAGCACAAATTGTGCCATCAGATTTGAAAATTGGGCTATATGTATAGGTGAAGTAAGCATCTTCATCATATCCATCACGTTGCACTATTGCACGCTCATCATGTCCAAAATAACCTTTGCCAGTTTCGATTACACTACATACATTATAATATTATAATTCAAAGGAAATTAATATAATGACTTAAATATCCTTAAAACTACCATGTGACTTACCTATTAAACTTTAAAACCATACGAGTTTCATATATTTCGGGCCAAATATCTTTAACTAGCATTCCTAATGCTGTTTAAAATTAATAAAGATGATAAGTTATTGACAGTATTGTTACAAACATATGGAACATATGCAATGAAATGATATAGCTAACCAGGGTGTTTTGTCTTTAACATTGGTACAAATGCTAGAAGTAAATAGGAT